GGTAGTAGTACGTGCGGCCGCGGGCGTCGCGCGCGCTGCGCCACAGCGACGGCAGCACCGCGCGCTCCTCCTCACCCTCCCCTCCCCTCCCCGCCCCTCTGCACGTGGACATGTTACCTGGCGACAGTGTGGGCGGCGTGGGCGGGTGCCACTGCGGGCGGCGCAGCTTCACGTGGTAGTAGTACGTGCGGCCGCGGGCGTCGCGCGCGCTGCGCCACAGCGACGGCAGCACCGCGCGCTCCTCCTCACCCTCACCCTCACCCTCACCCTCCGCCTCCCGCTCTACCTCCACCTCCACCTACCGAATGTACCAAACAATTGTAAAAGGAAACGCTTAAAGTTAAGCGAACTACTAACACGAGCGGGCACGTGACGTATCGGATTACTATAGGTCCTCGAACTTCGCAATATTTTTTCCGAAAAATTTATTTGAGTATTTCGAAAAAAAAATATTAATTCATTCATTAGTATATTCGGCAGTGGACTTTGATAGTGATATATATATAAAGAAGGGGAATAAGTGCCACAGTTGCCCCGCTTGGCTACCCGCCTGTTTGGCAGTCACATTTTTTTCACATGTTAGACAAAAATAATAACTATATTCTTCTCAGGCATAAAATAAGAGAATTCTCAATTTCTACCTTTAAGGAGCCCAAAAATGTTTACCGCTTTGGGCCTCCTAGGGTACCTAAGCCGCTATTGTCCTAATGGTAGACTCGGAGACAGCCACGAGACCAAACATACAATATTAGCAATACAATGATGAACGATTCATTTATGTTGAGGACAAATCTGTAATATTCGGCCAAAGTATGATCTATCGCATAGTGCTGCCGGACTGACGGACTCATGATATATCAATATTACAGCACATCATGGAATGCCAACGAAGAGACAAGTCTCATAGAACTAGCGCGACCGCTGATCATGTGGTCCCAGGTTCAAACCCGGGTTGAGCTTAAATCAATCATTGGGTTTTTCTGTAAAAAAAATTCAGTAGCAGTCCAGAGTGAAGTGATTGGTGGTGTTGCCACCCCCGTAACTCAGAAATAACGTAATGCCATTGGTCTTGCGATGAATATTTCTCAGTTAGTGTCGAATTGCCGTACCATGAGTAATGGAATAGAGTGCATGCACCTATGTTTGCACACACACGCGTGCACCATAATCCTATCTTTTGCAGATGGTTAGTCTCCGTTGAAAATGCCTGACATTATATCTAACTTTATTTAAAATTAGTACCCCGGCCTCGTCAGAATAGGAATCTATTAATGTAGGGTTATTAAGATTTAAAATAATCAAAGACCATTTATTGTGATAGATTTCCAAAAATAAGGTTAGTTTTTTGGATAAAATATAACCTAGATTCCTCCTGACATTGCTATCTGTTCATAAAGTTTCATCAAAATAGGTTCTGCCATTCCAAAGATTTGCATGGACAGACAGACAAAAACAAAATGTTTGTATGTCTTAGTGGCATACAGATAATGCCCCAAGCTTAATAGAAGCCATTTATTTCAACATTACAGACTGACACTTCAATTTTATTTGTAAGTATAAATTAAAGTAACTAACAAACCAACAATATTAGCTTTTTTTTATTTCAAATCATTATATTCCATCAAGCTGCTGCACATAGACCTCCCATATGGAGTGCCTCATAGGGAGGGATATTTGCCTTAATTACTATGCTTTGCGAGCGGGTTGACAACCGTTTTTCAATATTTTGATTTGTCATCAGGAAAATGCCCATTTTTTGTTTCCCTCTGTCGTCTTTCATTACACCAACAGGATGATCTTGAGCAGTGGTCCCTTATTAAAGTATAAATAGTAGCTGCGTTGTTAGCTCCTTAGCAGCTGTTATTTGCAATTGATTATTTTTATTTATGTGGTAAACGAAACTTGGCAATGTCATAGTTGTTTACAACTTATTGGCTTTAAAATTATCAAAAAAAATATTTGTCATGTCACTTTACCTCGCTAGGAGCATCAGCGGCGGTTTGTGAATGTTGCGTAGGCTGCGTGGGCGGCATGGTCTGAGAGGGCATCGTAGGCATCGTGGGTTGCGTGAGCTGAGGCTGAGGAGGCATAGCACCGGGGGCCATGGGCGGCCCGAACGAAGGGGGTAGTTGCTGCCCGAACATGAACCCGCCCATGCCGAAGCCCATCATACTGTTAAATACAAAATTATTAGGAATTAGAAAAAATAACAGATTATCAAAACTCAAAAGTGATCATAAAATTGTATTAAAATGTTACTGCCAATAAAAACAAGTCATGACTTTGTAACATCATATCATTGACATGAATTTTGATGGGAACCATAATCTAAGATAAAGTAATTCACCTGGCTTATTATAAAACTCTTCGTTATATAAGTGGGAATGGATGTTAATTAAATCGGGCGGTTATAAAATAGCAGGAAGCAAATTTTGCAAGAAAACTTCTTTGGAGTTGTTGTGATTTAAAACTCAACTAAAAAGAGACAAACAAATATATCTATAGGAAGTAGCTTACAAGAGAATGAGATAGAACACAGTATACAGTATTTTTATAAATTTATTTATATTTTAATAACATAAACCCTACAATTATCCTACTCCTGATAAAGACTCCGTATTCGTATCATTCTCTCGAAGTTTAGTTTTTTAAAGGTTTCACTTCTGCCGCGTGTGAATTGCACTCATGTAATTTTTTAATGTTATGACTTTGAAACAAAAATCTGTACATATGGAAAAAATTAATACAATATTTAGTCACATTAGATAATAAAAATAATAACACAAAAAATCGTCGTTTACGGAATCAAAATTCAGATTTCAATATACTCACTTAGGCTGTGGCATGCAGAATTGTGGTCCAGGAAACGGCGGACAAAAGGTGGGTGGACCTTGGAATTCCCCATTAGGTCCTATCCATTCACTAGGTGCATCTGGAGGTAAAATGCCCGGTACCATTCCCGGCATTATAGGGCCCAACATGTTTGGCGGACCACCCATCATGCCCGGAGGAAACATCTGAAGGAACACATAACCTTGTTACTCAAACTTTCTGTGCGAGTTTGTTAATTTACTTTTTTAAATATTGTAAATACAATAATTAAAAATTTTGTGCAACCGACTTCAATATAAATTATTAAGAATAACTCAAAAACTATTGGTCAGACCTTGGTCAAATTTATATGGGACCACATGGGAAGCACCAGCTTTGAAATAAAAAAAGAATTATTGAAATCGGTTCACCCAGTAAGAAGTTATGAGGTAACACACATTAAAAAAAACATACAGTCGATTTGAGTATCGGCTCCTTTTTGAAGTCGGTAGAAAAGTGATAATTGGTCGAGAATGATGTGTACCTGCGCGAAGCCGTCGGGCTGCGGCCAGTAGGGCCAAGGCTGCTGCTCGCGCTGGCGACGAGACTCGTCAGCCGCGGCGGCCGCCTCAGCAAACGCTTTTCTACGCTCCTCTTTACTCATTGGAGGCACCGAAGCCAAAACACGCTCGTTTAGCCTGTCACCAGATATCAATATTATATTTAGCTCACAGATGCAGATTAGTAGTATGGGGCATAATATACCTAGTCAGGTCATAAATTCTGTCACATGTTTAATATAAAATAATTGAAACAAGTTTATTCATTATGTAACCATTTATATACCAAAATGAACTTAACAAAACATAGATTCTTATGACACTAAATTTTATTCAAAATGACTTCCGTTAGTTTAAATCCCTTATTATGCTACATCTTACTCTGTCCTGTTTCCTTATTCCTGTCAAACTTCTCTCTATGGCTCTCTGACAGCGTTCCAACTTTTCTCTGTGGTGTTTGGTGAGTGACCAGGTTTTGCATCCGTAAGTAATGACTGGAAGTATACATGTGTTGAAAACTTTCCTTTTTATTTGCATACTTAGCTCCTTAGATTTTAAAACTTCTTTCAAAGACCAGTATTTCTTCCATCCATTTCCTATTCTTCGCTCAATTTCCTTAGTGGTTTGATCTTTGTGAGATATTATCTGTCCTAGTAGATATAGTCTGACACATATTCAAGTGGTTGGTTGTCAATTTTTATAATTACTGGTTTAGAGTTTGTAAGCAGTTTTGTTTTGTCTTTGTTCATGCTTAGGCCCACTTTCAGGCTTTCTTCATTTAGTGATTCTATCATTTTAACAAGATGCGTCGGATTTTCCTCAAATAAGACTATATCATCTGCAAATCTTAGGTGGTTCAGTTTTACACCCTGCACATTGAGACCGTATTCTTCCCAATCTAGTTTGCGGAAGATACTTTCCAGAGCAGCCGAAAACAGTTTTGGCGAAAGAGGATCTCCCTGTCTTACTCCCCTCTCGATCTTGAACTTTTTTCCCAAGGTTTCTAGTTGGATCCTCGCTTCGCCGTTCAAGTATATGTTCTTTATAATATTGATATAATTTAAAGGTATCCCCTGCTGTTCTAGGCTTTCCCATATGGCTGTGTGCCTTATGCTGTCATATTTTCTGAAGTTAACATTTGTTAATAATAGTAATGGAGAAAGAGTGATTATAATATCACAAGTGCATGCTGTAAGGCAAGATCACTCGTTCCAACCTACTTGTACTTAACTCAATTTAATGCTTAAATAGGGGATAATAAAGGCTCATCTAAATCTGGATGATAAAAATTCTTTACTTTTAGCATGCGGATAGGCGATCGCAGTAGCAGACGTTTTTGACACTGCTTCTAGTCTCCGGTATAAATACTTTACATCTGGCATACAATTGTGAATGTGAAACCACTAGCTATTGCTGTGCTTTAGATGATCCATCTTATTTATTACACTCAGGCTGGAAAGAGTCCCTTTAGAAATGAATCCTACCTTAGAAATAAGACCTAGCTTAGTGAGTTGGTAAATAATAAAAGCACCAACAAGGTTATTGTTTACAATAAACAATAAAAGAAATGAACTCACCTAATACTCCTTCGCCCTTCAGGGCTTCCTCTTCTTTTTCTCCTATCTCTTTCATCTCTATCCCTTTCCCTATCGCGCTCTCGCTCACGTTCTCTATACCTGTCGCGATCACGCTCACGATCTCGTTCTCTCTCCCTATCCCTTTCCCTTTCACGTTCGCGCTCGCGTTCTCTTTCCCGTTCCCTCTCGCGATGTTCCCTGTCGTCTCGTCGGTCGCGTTCTTCCCTTCGTTCGCGTTCGCGCTCACGATCGCGGGAACCACTAGAGTCGGCCGCTCGCCTTTCCACATTCGCTTGCCGCTCGTGTTCTTTCATTTGTTGTATTCTTTCCTTCTTAGGAATTTTGAACACTTCCTAAAAACATAATACAACATATTGTAAAAATTATATAGTTAAGAATGTAAAACCCAAAGAACAGGAATACAATTCCAGATTCATATTATATTTTTTTTAATTAGCTTTAAACGTAAAGGAGATGAGTATTTTTTTCCAAAAGGATTTTTATCAACATTCCACATTTTATAACAATATTGAGCTCAATTGGTTGCGTTTTCTTAATACCATATCCAAAAACATTCATAGGACCTAACACACAACCATGGTTGGCTGGATTATTTTCTTATATTTTTACAGCAATAAACTACATATTTGTACAAAAGTTTATATTAGGTAATATAATTCATTATCATATTTTCTATACTAAATATTGTTAATATAGATGATTTACTGACTGAACTAATACCTTTTGTTACTACTAAAAACAAAGAAATAAAGAAAAAAAATTCTTAATTGATATGATAGATTTTCCATAAACATACCTTCAAACTGGACCATCTTTCTAGCAATTGAGTTGAGAGATCTCTAACTTTTTCCAGTATAGCCGCATTTTCTTTATTTTTCTCGGCTAATATTGCAGCATTTTCTTGACTTGTTCTATTAGGCAAGTCTACTGGTAAACCTGTGGCAACAAATACTTCCATTCTATATTTAAGATACATAAAACGAGCAGCTATGCAGGTCAGGTGCAGAACTAGTTCCAGTTCGCTTAGCATGACCTAGTGCAATCACTGCTATACCTATAGTTTTCCTCTAAACTGTGAGATATTCCACTTCCTCTGGACTTAGTAAATAGTTCCCCAGATAAATGCTGCGTTTCTGCATTGGGCACTGAACACGTATCATTCAGATATTAGTTCTGTTTCTATTTCATTACTACATAATGAAACAGAAACAAACATTTTTATTCAATATACATTATAAATAATACTTATTGAAAGTCACTCTTTTGTTTAATCACCACTGGTTCGAAAAAATACCTCTGTCCTGGGAAGAACCAGCAAGAAACCCAGTGGGACTTTTTTTTAAATAACAGCTTAATACAATCATGTATGTTACACAATTAATCACACAAAAAAGTTAGAAATATAGATTATAAATAATACTTATTGAAAGTTACTCTTTTGTTTAATTACCACTGGTTCGAAAAAGTCCAGGGAAGAACCAGCAAGAGACCTAGCGGGAAATAACAGCTTACAATCATATATGTTCCGCAATTAACCACACAAAACAAATTAGAAATGGTTTGGTAGCGATCACCTCATTCCCAGGGGTTATTATCACCCATAAAATCCTTAATATTATAACAACCCTTTTTATACAAACTTAGTTTAATAAAGTTTTTGAACTTTGAGCAGGTCAAATTTTGTATCTTTTCTGGGATTTTGTTGTAAAAACGTATACATCGCCCCAAGAATGAATTACTGACTCGGTGGAGTCGAGTAACTGGTACTACTAGCTTGTATCTGTTCCTAGTATTTACAGAATGACTATGACTTATTTTTGTATAACTACTTTTATTTTTGTGTATATACATTACATTGTCATAAATGTATTGAGACGCCAAAGCTAATATATTAATTTCCTTCAATTTTTGATGGAGCGACTCTTTAGGTTTGAAATCATAGATGCTCTTATAGCCTTCTTCTTTAAAACAAATATAATTTCAGTGACAGTCGCGTGTCCCCATAGCAAAATACCATACGACATTATGCTATGGAAATAGCTAAAGTAAACAAGCCTAGCTGTTTCCACACTGCTAAGATTTCTAATCTTTTTACAGCATATGCTGCAGAACTAAGTCTGCTTGCTAATTTTGATATATGGGGTCTCCACTGAAGCTTCGCGTCTAGTGTTATTCCTAGAAAAATGGTGGTATCAAGAAGACTCATTTCCTCCCCATTTAAAATTACATTAGTATTTAATTGTTTGACATTTGGAGTCACGAATTTTCATACATTTCGTTTCAGTGCCATTTAAATGCAAGTTATTAACATTAAATTGAAGTGCAAATTATTGAGAGGATATAATCAATCTATACAATAAAATAGTAGATGCCACAAAATTTCCCTTGTAAATTCTTAAAATCTACTTTTGTCCTCTTGATCTCGGCACCACATCGTAGGTAATATTCATCTCCCCATTTCGTCCCGTGGGTGTCGTACGAGACGACTGTGGGAAAAGCCAAAAAATGAAATGGCTTCTGATAGATGGCGGTATTACAATCTCGTTTATGCTAATCGACAACCGCTGCGGGCTGACAAAAGTGTCAAAGGTGCCATCTGATACTGCGATCGGTAATCTGCATATCAGCCATTAACACAAAATACTCCCTAAAACGGGAGAGGCCCGTGTCCAGACCTTTAGGGGCTGATGGTAATTAGTGCAGAAAAGAAAATAGATCAACTGATACTTGCTTTTTTAACATTATTTTGTTTTATACTTTCTACATTAATATTTTAAAGAAAACCATAATTACCGGTCGCCTCATCTATAAACTGTGTATCAGTTGGAAGATCTACGGTGTTACGCCATCGCTCGACGATCGTGAAGAAACGGCTCTCTTGCACCATTGTTTTGTTTGTGATCGGTAACCGGTCCACGGTCAGTAGCATTTCTAGCCTATAAATAAACAGATAATTTTTAAATCTTAAGAAGATCTACTTTTATTTAAATGTTGTTTTATTGACATTTTCAAAAATAATCATGAGATCATCACTTAATAAAGGAGTCACATACTTGCTTATTATTTATTCAGATAACCATAACAACAAAAACAAACGCCTTAAATATTTGTCATGTAGAAATCTACAAGAGTGGTCTATGTTCACAGTGGACTACTCATAGGCTGTAATGAATGAATTAATTAATGACATATATCAGAGATGCAGGACAGAAGATAAACAGAGATAAAAATAAATATGTCTGATAGGCAACATGTACATAATCTTGTGGAAAAATAGTAAAGAGGGTAGTACTTTCCCAGATAAACTGACCAGCATTGTGATTGTGTAACAGGTGGGAATCATGATTTTCTTTGTTCCAACATTTTGATATTTGGTTTTGATGTAATGTATCAGTATTGATTAAAAACCAATGTAATTTTTTTTTGTTCACATATCTTATTTAAGGTTGGTATATAACACTGGCAATGATTCCAACTAGAGTTACCATCACACTACTGAACTTGACAAGTGCATCAACTTTCCAGGTTGCCAGTAAAAACTAGTAGTTGGCAGAAGTGTCAATGTAACTCTACCGCTAGCCTAAGCTCGATCATTGACCTGAACTCGGTGGAGGTGTCGACACACCAGGGCGACAGCAACCGCAAGCTTATACGGCGAGTTGCGGTTGGTGGCGCCCTGGTGGCAAACGATTGCTACTGGAGTTCCACAATCAATCAAATTAGAACATGTCAGTACTACAGGGGCGACTACCAACTGACCTGAATTTGATAAAGGCACCACACCAGGACGCAAGTAACGACAAGGGATTCGCAGAGATGTTAGTACAACTCGACTGGGGTGACGTTAGAACACCAGGAAGCCAGCAACGACGAGAGATTGGTGGAAATGTCAGTCAGTACCACTCGACTCGACTTGACCTAAATTTGGTCACTGACCTGAACTCGGTGGAGGCGTCAGCACACCAGGGCGCCAGCAACCGCAAGCCGCGGTAGTCGAGGAACAGGCGGCGGCACGGCAGGTCGGCGTCCCGCAGGAGTCTCAATAGTGCGGTCTGCGCGCGTCTTGTCTTCGCGCGCACTACAGTCCGGGACAAACGCAGCGTGTGGCTCTGGTTCTTTACACCGGTGCGGCTGAGCGCTTCGAGGTCATCTTCGATCTGTTCCATCAAACATATTTTTTTAAATGTAGTTTTTAAATGATTAGTAAATTTAAAAATGAAAACATGTTATAACTAGCTAGTTCTAATGGTTTTACTTGATAATTTTATTTTTACGATTAGTTTCGGATTCTGATTACTAAACAAATATTTTAAATATACCAAAACAGCATGAAACATGAAATGTCTTTTGTTTCCAGATTTCAAAAAGTTTTAAGGAATGTGATATACAAAAATATTGAGAAATTAATCATCCATTTTCCATGTATCTTATATATGACACGACTATTCAAATTGGAGACACTGAATTATCGAAATTCGAAATAGTAAATAAAGTATAATCTTACATCAGCATCCTGCACCAAGTCAGGTGCTTTTGGCTTATATTTCCGCTCCCTTTTGATTTTAGCAACTCCAGGCTGTGGTTGTTCAGACAGTACATCTGTCCCGTGAGACTCTTCTGAAGATTCGGTTGTACCCGCTTTCGATGTTGAAACATCGCCTTCCTCCTGAATATTATATACACGCATTGTTAGTGAATTACATCCTATACATATCAAACTGCTGAACACAGGCATTCTGTCATTTCTGAGAGCTTATATTATTAGTTCGGCGTGTTTCACATTTTCGTGTTCAACATTTTGCAGGCCACACTAGTCAGTGCTTATTGAAATGTCCCCGACGAGGTTGTGGCGATTAGTGGTGCGTACATAGTAATAATTTGGGAGTGAAACATAATTGAAAGGGAAGGTGGTGAATGTGGAATTTCTTACTACGAGAAGGAAGAAGAATTGATATTTTATGTTTTAAGTGATCTCTGAATGTCTGACGGATCTTTTGTGAATTTTACTCGAATTTCAACATCTGATTTTGAAACTTTATAACAAATTATCGCACCTTCCATAGCCAAACAGGATACAATACTACGGAACGCTATTGGCCCTCATATGAGACTTGCCATTGCATTAAGATACTTGTCGTACCAAAAAGTTGTACCCAGTCGTACGTTTGTGGTTTGAAATATCCCACAACAAAACATGACTCTGGTAAAGCTCAAGAAGTAAAAGCACAGTTTCGTTTCTCCACACTACTGACATGTTGCAAGGCAAGTTGCGCACACGACTACACCCGGTAACAATGACGCGAGACACGTGCGCTCGCTCTCAGAGCGAGAACAACAAAATGTCCCACGTCACGTAAAATGTTGCAGGCCATGTTGCGGCTCATTGAGCAACGTTGCATCGTCACGTAGATTGAGTGTTCCGCGTCATGTCCCGCACCATTCAATTGTGTATGTGGACCAAAAATGCAGCAGCAGGGTCATCATGACTGATTTAATTAATACCTCATCATCATCATCCTCGGAGTCAGGCTCGGCACCGATCCATCCGCGGCAATTCTCCGCTCCGCAGTAGCACCGCTGCGCCACCTTGCTGCATGTAACAAACATATCACTGATACGTGAACCCCACCTCACACCACTCGCTGGAATTTTCAACCGTTACTATGACTGTGAGGTCTATAGAAATGGTATGTGTATTAATGGATCTCGAAAATACAACAAAAACACTTGAAATTAAAGGATCAATATTACATTACCACCTTACTTTAACAAGATAATTTCAAATTTATAACAATCCTTAATTAATAAAGAAAATGGAAATAACGATGGCTGACAACAATCTTTTAGTAAATGTAACGAATCACTTTTCGTTTTGTTTGCTAACTTATATGTGGTAGAGTCATGATGCAGCTATATTATAGTTGTAACACAAATGGGTTGGCTCGACCGGGATAGGACCACACTCTCACACAAAACCAGTGTGAAATAGCACCTTAATGCTGCAGTGTCTCGTATGATGAGTGCAGAGAACTAGAGACCCTTTTTACTGGAAACAAGGCATTGCATCGTAGTCCTTAGGGGTGACAGTGTATCTGCATTTTAATTCTTAATTGAGGATAGATTTGGATGTCTATGGCCACAGTATCCACTTACCATAAGGTGGACTGTGTGCTTGTTGGTCACCCTTATACGAGGGTGGATTGAAAAGTACTCGGCCTAACCAAGAAAATAAACAAATACTAAATCAGTTATATTTTTATTTTTCTACATAATCACCATCAAGTTCAATACACTTTTGCCACCTCCCCTTCCAAGCATTTAGACCGTTGAAAAAAAATGATTCTTCCTTAGAGTCAAAATATGCGTCTACAGCTGCTTTGACCTCGTCGTTTGTCGAAAATCTTTGACCTCCCAAGTGCTTTTTTAGGTTAGGGAACAGAAAGAAGTCTGATGGTGCCAGATCAGGTGAATACGGCGGATGCGGTAACAGTTCAAAGCCACAGTTGTGAATATCAGCCATTGACTGTACTGACGTGTGAACACGGGCGTTATCTTGATGAAACAGGACTTTTCTTCTGAGCATTCCTCGACGTTTTTCTTTTATTTCCTCTCGTAAACGACGTAGTAAGGTGCAGTAGTAATCAGAGTTTATATTCTGACCCCTTTCAAGATAATCAATCATAATCACACCTTTCGAGTCCCAGAATACTGAAGCCATCACCTTATTTGCCGACAAAATTGACTTAGCCTTTTTAGGGGGTGGTGAACCAGGTCTTCTCCACTGTTTTGATTGTTGTTTTGTTTCCGGTGTACAGTAATGAACCCATGTTTCGTCCATAGTAACAAAACGATTCAAAAAATCATCTGCATCGGCTTCAAATAACTCCAAACAGTCGCGTGAAATAGTCAATCGCGTCCTTTTTTGTTCAACTGAAAGCAGTCGCGGAACCCATCTCGCAGACAACTTGTGGAAACCCAACTCGTTGACAATGATGTTTTGAGTTCGTTCATAAGAGATGCCTATAATCTCGGCTATCTCTCTAATTTTTAATCTGCGGTCTCCCATTATTAAATCAAGTACTTTTTTAATATTTTCGTCAGTAGTTGACGTCGAAGGCCTTCCAGAGCGGGGTTCATCTTTCACACTCTCTCTACCACGCTTAAATTCTGCTATCCATTTTTTGACGGATGAATATGACAGAGCACAATCGCCTAATGTACTGACCATGTCATCATGGATGGCTTTTGATGATAGCCCCTTCTTATGGAGGTACTTAATGACGGCACGCTGCTCGATTTGCTCCATACGCGGAAATTATGTCCGATTACTTTGTTAATAAATTTATAAAATCACAACTAATTATCGCACACGTTTCGAACTTCACACAATGAACTAGTCTGAACTGAACTAAATAATGTGGGTAGATTTGATTTTTAGAATTGAATGGATCTGTGTTAGGCCGAGTACTTTTCAATCCACCCTCGTATTATAAAATAAAAAAACATCTAGTAAACAAGTTAACTAAAGTCAACTCTTGTATAATTAGGTGCATTAATTTCCTACTTGGTTTTTAAGACTATGAATATGTAAGTTTAGAAACAATTTGAATTGCTCCAAAATAACTATACTATATTAGGGGGATTATTATCTTTGACTATATTACTTATTTATTTTATATAATTTTTAAAATAATTATAATCTCGTAAGCTGCACAGTGATTTCTAAACTGGCATGCAACTTGTCACAAACTGAAAATTAAAAATTTAAATACCGCAATCAATTTTGCCATAGTTTTTCACTTGCACTCCAAATTTTTTATATATGTGAATGAAACAGATAATGACAGTATCGCACCGTGTCAAGGAATAGGGAGTTGAAGATCAACAACTGTTGTTCTTTGTCAATAAATGAACTAGTTAAATCAACCAATTAAACTAGTTCATTGATACAATACCCATGCCTCAATGCAAATAACTTATTTTATTTAATTACTTATTTACAATTATGCAGTATTGTTATGTTAGTCAATTTCTGACATAATGTTAACCAAATACTTTATTTGAATTTGTATATTTCATGGGCAGACTAATAACAGAAAACAAAATATTCAATAACATTAAAAAAATATGAGTAATATAATTATAAGCTACTTACCCGAAGCGCTGGAACTGATAATCAAAGGTGATCTCCTCTCCAATTGTAATGTCCCTTTTGCTGAAAAAGCCTATTCTGAGCTCTCCGTTCACTGTCCACTTCTGTGTCTCTGCATTTGGTTCACAGGAATGATTGATGAATCGAGATATGTTGCCCTTCATAGTTGCATCAATTACTGTGTCACCTTTTAGCGACATGAAGTAATGGTGAAGATTGTTTTCATCGGAATAAGATTGTGCTCGCTTATAAAACTGTTCATAATCTAGGACTTCACCTACATACTCCATTAGAAATTCACCTCTGTAAAATTATTAAACAGTATGTTAATTAAAAAATAATATACCTAACAACAAAAATTTTAGGTTAAATATGAGAACAACTAACAGTAAGCTTAAGTAAATTTTTAAAATGGATCTTTTATTATGATATGTTAAATTATTGTTATGACTTGACTTACAATTAAGTATCAAATAGAAATAGTAGAAATGTAAAATACATTAACTTACGCTGGAATAACAGCACTGGCTTCGACTCCACAACCTTTTTTATCTGCATAAAAGACTTTCAATGCGGCATTTTCCTTGTTTTGAAATCTTCTATTTGTACAACGGTCCCCAACAGGGCACCGAGAATTACTGAAAAATATTATTTGTACATAACATTTCTTTCTAAACACAGTAAACATAGTATATCATAATTCACTAAAGTAAATGAAATTTTACTCTTACCATTCAATCATGAGTAACCTATTTAGACAATCTTCTCCACATGCTAATTCTCCACGCTCTAGTTCTTCTTTGGTCATGAAACAGTCACATATCATTTTCTTTGTGTCCTTACTAATCATACGATCACATAGATACTCATTCTCATCTAAATGTTGGTATTGATTCATTCTCTCTTCTATTATCTTATCATAAGCTTCCTTAGTTAACTCAGTAACAGTCTGCTCCTCATGGGTAGGATTCTGTTCTTCGAGTGGGGGTAGTAATCTTTGAGGTAAATTTGGACTAGCAAGTGGGGAGTTGGCTGGAGAGTTTGCACCCATCTCAAGCTCACTAGATCTCCGCCAACGGGATTTCACTTTAACTGGCATTTCAGAGGGAACTGGGAATTGTGCAGAATTAGTAGTTGTATTTGTAACAATTTCACTGACTTTTTCTTGACTATCAGACCCTAATTCTTCAAGTTTCAGTTTTGTTTGTGTAATCAAAGCTTTCTTTAATGGTGTCTTGACTAAACCATATCCTTTTGTTTTCTGTTTCATATTGCTAATAATCTTAATTCGGCTAGATCGTCTGACTCCTGTAGGAGAGGACTCTGCTGAATCATTTGAATTATTTTGTGTTTGTTCTGTTACCCTCGAGGAATTACTATCATCAGATAAAGTGGAACTTGGGGTTAAGCTAGGATCAGGCCTTGTCAAATCATTTGAATTCTCTTTTGCAAATATATCAGGTATATTACATTGAGGTACTTGTGAGTAATTAATTTCAGTACAATCCATGAGTGAATGGGTTCTTGAACTTGAATGGGAAGCAAGATTTAAGTTTGCAAAATGTTTTTGAAAATCGGAATCACATTTCTTGTTTTCTAATATTTCATTATCATTAATCTGCTGCAAATTTGAATCACTCTTTGGACTATCTATCTTAATGTTATAATAAAGCTCTTGGTTATCATCTTCAACTATTTGAACTACTGTAATTACTTCATCCTCATCACATGCATATTCAATTTCTTCTTGCAATGGAATGTCTTGAATTTCACGGCTTGATTGTATATTAACAATTTCATCAGTTTTCATATTTTCCATTTGTTCTACATGCTTAACTAATACTGATGTATTAGTTGTTGATTGATTCCCTCGCAAAATTCTTTTGCTGTCATTTTTAGAATTTTGTAAAGGCATTACAGGAGGAGCTTTTGATTTTTCTGGTAATGGCATTGAAGCTGTGTGGGTGGCTTGATTATCTAATGATTTTGAGACAATAGTCAGAGGACTGGGACAAGCACCACTGTTTGTATCAGAATGAACATCTAACGCAGCATTTGAGTCAGATTCTGAACTAGCACAAGGATCAATTACCTTAATTTCAATACTGCTATTAGTTTCACTATCACTACCAGTTTCACCTTTTCTAGGCAAATTATCATTGTTAAATAGACAACGATATTTACCAAATTTCTTATGCAAAGCTACAGTGGGTTGTAAACATTTCATACCAGATTTCAAGCTCTGAGGTTCAGATGGTTGAATATTACTTTTTGTTGATGCAGAAATGTTTATGCTTGATTCTTCAGGAGGTTTATCATTAGCCTGCAGCTCTGAAGTAGTTGATTCGACGGAGGTGGAAGTTTCGCCTTGCCCAAGAGCAGTTTCAGCACTTGGTTGTTTCCCGCGTCGAGTTGATCGTCGAGCAGCAGGTTTTGTTGCAGGTTTTCTTTTCTTGGCCATTTTGAAACGTAAAGACAAACGACCTATAAATATAATGTATTCATTAAATTATGAAAAATCACTATGAATATTGATCTCTTTTTAGTGTCTTATGTGTAAATATCACATGGTAAAAAATTATGAAGTAATTAAATTGTTAACAATATTACGATTGATAATATGAATGTTTTAATAACAAAAGATTTTCATTAAGAAAATTATTCACACAGCGGAATCATCGGCCCAAATCCAATGCCCATCAATATTTTTAACAATGACAATGTTACACTAGACTAGACTTACCATAACTTTATAAAGCGTTATTATTTTTAATATTTATTAGGTACCGAAATGTCAATTTGGGTATGAAAACGCTTTTAGAAATTTATAGTCAAATCAGGTATGTGTAAGTCGCTTCATTTTCTCCAGTCCATTTTTTTATTATTATAACAAACCCAACTAAAACCTAAAATACCTATACTGAAATGTACTCTGTGCCTTGTGCCATAAACCTGGTGGTCGTGCTAGTTACTAGGCGTGTGTATCTCTTTACGGAAACGACTCACTGATACGAATCACTGAAGTGACACAAAAGATTGGTTCAGTAACAACGTTTTAAATGTATCATTTGTATCTGCAACAGTGAAACATTACTTTGCTCTTTGCTCATTTCGCGCGACGCGTCGCTTGCGAGGCGACTGAGCCACGAGCGAGAGAGAGAGACTGAGACAATGATTAACTTAACTATTGAGTCACGAGTGGCGAGTGAGCGGGCGAAATAATTATAATTCACACAAGTCAGATAGAGATAAAAAATAAGAAGTGTATCACTCAACTCGTACGGATTTTCGCTGACGTTATTCATGCAAGTAAAAATTACCACAAAGGCGCTTATGTGTCAAATACTATACGGTCGTTTTTGTATGTAACGTTTTGTATGTAACAAGTTGTCATTTTACGTTGATGCGGCACTTGTCAAATTGTTTATATTCATTAGCGCCTGTTTACGAAAACATACTGTGTTATGTTTAGGATTTCTTTGCGTAGTGATTATTCTGAATTTATTTTCTTCCTTTTCATCATAAAGTTTAGAGTTATGATACTTTACTAGTAAATTCTGTGTACATAGACATTGCTGTTTTGTGTAAATGGACATTTTTGTAAATAATGAATTGACATAGTGACATTTTTGTTAAAGTATGAAGGAGAATCGATTTTATATACAATCTTATTATAGTACACAATAAATAATCTAAGCACTTATATTATTCAGCATTTTTGCCACATAACATTTCACGGATCAGTCAGTAATAAATGCCCGCGACGCAACTTAATGTATTCGGAACATTCTTTCTTTTATATATTTTGGAGTCGATGATACAAATGAGACAAATGAAACATATCAGTGTTTCGGAACATTTCAGTGATCAAGATGCAAATGTTCCAATCCCAAAAATGATACACTTTGCCCACCTCCACTAGTTACCACAAACTATATAGAAAACTCTACACTCCAACTCCATACCACAGAACTCTACACTAGTTTTTTTTTTTTGGAGTTCATGGCCTGGTATCTAGACCTTTAGGCCAAGTCTTAAGTATTTTTATTCGGTTTATTGTAATTTCCCCACTCCTTCATAGTATACTGCTTCACAATATGTTGATGCGTCACATTGTGCAGTTCTTGGGAGATTTTGGCGGCAACTTGATCCAGCAGACAGTTGATAGTTGGCGATGGTATCTAAAGGTGCCTATGCAAACAAACAGCTTATCTTGAGAATCCATCACCATCAGAGCACTTGTTTCACTGTTTCCACTAATAGTTCACATGCGTAGACACTTAATACACAAAATCGCAACACTTTTACATATCAAAGTCCACTTCAAACCATTATTTAAACAATAATACAGGAGCAGCAAACCGCCGCCGGTCAATTTCCCGCCAAAACTCAACTCTACACTAGTGTTGTAAAACTTGCTACAGATTTATTACATAATCTGTGTTGTAAAATAACATAATACTCAAGTGCTCTGTGCATTATACATAATAATCTGTGGTCTGGTTGATGATTTGTCATAGACTTAGTATCTTAGGTCAAATGAAAAAGCGCGGGAACCTTGAAACGTGATAGGCGCCTTTTTTTAAACTAAAATTTTAATTTTGTTTTATTTAGTTAAAAGGCACTAAACTTTTATTGTTTATTGTTACTGGGTTTCCCCATCATGGGGAAACGTAGAAAAAAAAATGCCGGGAGAAGAAGAAGTGTTTGAAGAAACGACTGACGAGGAGGAAATTGATACCAGTACTGAGGAAGATCCTGAGAAAGAGCAGCGCAAGTATAAGCCGTACTTTGTATCTGACTACAACAGGAGGTACCCTGAGGACTCTATTCTCGTTGATTTTGTTGTATTTGTCGAATCAAATGATGAAAGACGGCCAATCGGCACGCGGGACATGATGTCTCTGTCCACACATATGAAGAGGTTCAATAAAGGCATTAAATATTTGCAATCTATGAATAAATACAAAATAGGCGTTCATTTTGAAAAGCCCTCTCTAGCGAATGCATTTTTAAATAATATTACTTTTCTTAATGAATACAAAATGAAGGCATCTATCCCAGCTGTAGGGACAGAAATAACAGGAGTCATAACCAATGTTCGCACTAATCTTTCAATTCAAGAATTTTTGGTATGTTAACGACTTACAGAAAGATAATATGTGTTAAAAGGATAATGAGGAAAATAAGAATGATGCAGGCCGCAGTTTGCTGCAGCCGACGGGCACCGTGGCCATAACATTCGCTTCTAATGTTTTGCCGGACCACGTCGATCTTCATGGTTGGCGGTTCGTGGTAAATCAGTATATTCCACCAGTGAAGCAGTGCTACAATTGTTTGAGGTATGGTCACTTAGCAAAGTATTGTAAAAATTCTGTGAAATGCTCAATTTGTACTGAAAATCACAGCCACAAAGATTTCCAAGTCTCTTCAGATAAAGCGATATGCATACATTGCAAAGGAAACCATCTAAGCATTTCTGGACAGTGTCCTGTTAAGAAACAAAAGATAAAACAAAATCAGGCTAAATTACACAAAACCCCATTTGTAGACCTTTTTAATAAAAACGACTTCCCCGAATTAAACAAAAAAAATCCCAAAGATGCTCTTATGTCACTGCTAAAGAATGATGACAATATTAATATAATTTTAAATACAATCATTAAAGTATTAACTCTTAATAAATCAAATGAACAAACCACCATATCTTCTCAGCTTATTAAAGATGTTCTCATAGATACAATGAAACCAAAATAGATATTTCATTATTTAACATTTAATATTTTATGGATCAGTTTAACATTTTACAATGGAATGCACAGAGTTTAATTAAAAATCGCTTTCAATTTACACAATTTCTATATGAGAACACCATAGATGTTGCTCTCATATGTGAAACTTGGCTTAAACCTAAGCACAATTTTAGAGTAAAAGGTTATAATATTATACGATTAGATTCAGGTAATTATCATAATGGATTTCGTGTTATCAGTACATTCTCTGATGACTCATTACAAAATATAGAATGAACAAAATTGGATTTCGTGTTATCAATACATTCTCTGATGACTCATTACAAAATATAGCTATACAAATACAATACAATGATAAATTATTAACTTTAGTTAGTGCCTCTAATTCACCAATTAATTATAATAAATCCAAATTAGATAATTTAATCCAAAGTTTGCCACAGCCAGTCTTTATAGCTGGTGATTTCAACGCCCATCACACGTTATGGGGATGTACTGAATTAGATTCACGAGGTAGGGACGTTCTTACAAGTATAGATGACAACAATCTTGTAATCTTGAATGATGGTCAGATGACTACAGTAGGATCTCATAGATGGAGGCAGAATGCATTAGACTTGACACTTGTTTCATCTTCACTGGCTCTGTCTTGTGAGTGGCAAGTATGTGATGATGATTCTCTAGGCAGCTATCATTTTCCTGTAAAGACAAAAATTACGGTTAATAGTCAAAATTTTCAAGAAACAGCTGTATCAAATAACATAAACTTAAAATTGGTAGATTGGTCAAAATATTCAAATTTAATGGAAAATTTAATTAAAAATTATAGTTTTGATTATAGTAATCCTTTACAATGTTATACAGACTTAATAGAACTAGTTAAACAAGCCATGCATGAATGCACACCATCCAATCAGTCTTCTAATCGAAATGTTAACATCAACTTGCAATCTTTTAAAAGATTTAAAAAGAAAAATTCTCTACCTTGGTGGAATTTAAAATGCAAAGAGGCAGTATTAAATTGTAAAAATGCATATTTAGTATTTAAGAATGATCCCACAGAACGAAATTATATTAATTTTAAAAGACTACAAGCTGTTAAAAAAATTACTTTGAAGACTGAAAGACATCTTAGCTGGAAAAAACTATGTGAAACTTTTAATAGATCTACTCCATTGACTAGAGTATGGAACTACATTAAAAAGTTTAACAAAACTTTTGTTCATAATAACACATCTGTCATAGATTCTAATTGGCCTAACGCCTAATCAATTTTTGAAAAAATATACTCCAGAAACAGATAAATCACCTCTAACCCCTAACTCCTCAAATGATAATCATTGTAATTATCTTACCAAACCTTTTACCTTGACCGAATTCAACTCAGCTGTTAACTCTAGAAGAGACACTACTTGTGGTTTAGATTCTGTTCCATATAACGCTTTAAAAAATATGAATGTGTAGAGAACTAGTTTTGAAAATATATAATATGTTATGGTTTCATTCACCTATTCCTAACGATTGGAAAGAAGATTGTTTGATACCCATTTTAAAGCCTGGAAAAAAACCTCACATTGCAGAATCTTACAGACCTATAGCACTTACATCTTGTATGGGTAAAATATTTGAGCAACTTATAAAATCTAGATTAGAATTTTATCTAGAAAAAAAATGTCTTTTACCATCAAACCAGTTTGGGTTCAGACGCCGTAAGTCATCTAGAGAAAGTATTGCATTTCTACATTTAGACATTTTTAAAGCTATGGAAAATAATGAAATATTAATTAGTATATTCTTTGACGTTGTTAGTGTCAATCTTCATGTACTCGCCGCAGAGTTGAGGTCTTTGGCCATTCCTGAAAAAATTGTAAAAAGGATATTTAACTTTTTACATGAAAGAAGAGTTTTTGCTAAAGTTAATAATAATAATACAATTACCTAGGCTCAGTTATAAAGGTGTTTG